ACTAGATGCGTCAGACATGCTAGGCCATGTTTTTTGCTGTAGGAATCAGAAGTCGCAAGCGTCTTTTTTGTGTCGACCTTAGTTTCTCGTCCTCTGTGATTATCCCTATTTGAACCACTGTCAGGCCATCCAGACGTTGTAACACGGTTCGTCATACTTTTGTTATTTCTTAGCATTTCGTAAGATAGACTTCGTACCAGCGGTACCTTATGTAACATGATTTCAGAATTTAGCTGTCGTAGATTTGAGAGAGATGGAGAGATAGATAGATAGATAGATAGATAGATAGATAGATAGAGAGAGAGAGAGAGAGAGAGAGAGAGAGAGAGATGGAGAGATAGATAGATAGAGAGAGAGAGTGTTAAAGAGAAAGCAGAAGCTGGCACAAAATCTGCCTAGTCATTGTGCAGAATGGCATCGGAAACAGAGGACACTTTCACTCCATGACTAAGTGCGTTACCGGCCGCATTCATGAGCAGTCTAAGGCTCCAGTAGTTTTATTAATAAAAGGAAGTTTATCCGCCAGGCTAGTAGATCTGTGATACAGGTTGAGTTACATTGTTTTCTATGCGTCGGTTTCTTAATGGTTTTGTTTTGATGGAACCCGTATGGAAACTGCTGATTGATTTCTGTTGCTTCCTTATTTGCTTTTAATCGAGTTGTGAAGTCTGTTTGTTTAAGCCGAGTTCAAAGTCCGGTTTTTTAATAAGTTATAATTTAAGCAACCTTCTCAGTTTAAGACTAATTCTGTTTTTGATTAAAAGTTTTTGTTCAGTTGTTATGTCGCCGTCTTTATAAAGAAAATATTAATCTGGCATGTGCGATGTTTTCGCATTTTCTTAACGCTGTATATTTTTGAGCTAGTGAGTGTGAAAGGTAAGGTTTATTCAACATTTTTTTGAGATTTAAATGATAAAATTTTTTAATAGGGATTTTTTACCCCGTGGCTCTGGCATTGTGACGAGAAGGCCGTTGATCTTGCAGCTGATATACGATAAAAACGCAGGTAATTGTCAGAAGTTTTTCTGTTCAGCGAGGAAATACTCCAGTTTCTCTGATTTCAACTAACTGAAAAATTTTTCTCCATCTTTTAACTGTAATGATTTAAAAACAGTTATATTTTTTCAGTTTATGTCAGGGTCAAAATTCTGAATACTCTGTGTGAGACCTCGTGCATTTTCTACTCCTATATAACGCCGAGTTGCTGTCTTTTTCTCACTGAAACGTGAAATAGCTGCTTTCACTTTCACGTGTGCTGCTAAAGGCAATTTTTTTCTACCGGATAATTTGACATTCTTCATGTGTACTTGCCGCAGAGGTCAACTTTAGCCGTTCAAGGAAGTCATACTACGCAGAGGCAGTAAATTGTTTAGGAAACGGCCTGGGTTGATAAAGTAGCCCCAGAAAGAGAAAATTGTTCAAAACTTCTCTGAGTAAAATATGGAAACATCGCGAAGTCATACGTGCTCGCGTTTACGAACATTACCTTAGTAGTAGCAATAGCAGTAAATGCCGTCCAGTATAAATGTGAGATTTCACATAGGTCAGACATCAGCCTGCTTCTCTCTGTGTTCAGTGTTAACGTTCAAATAACAACATGAACAACAATAATGGTAGCACGACTCAGCGTCATTCGACTTATCATTCCTGCCTTGAAATTTTCTGACGCATTCATATTCTGCTGTTTATTTTCCAAACAAGGAACACATCTTAGTAGATGACACTGTTCATTCATATTTTCCATAAATTCAACTTTGCTTCCACATAGTGATGATCAGGAAACGACCCAATAACAGATGGCGTCCAGGATGATATATTTTCGACTCTATTCCCCTTAAATAGTACCGTGCCACGACGGCATATCAGAATCTCGGAAATGATCTCTTAAGAAGCTAAAGGTAACCCTGCCTGATATCCTCATCTTCGAAGGTAAGCGTCAATAAATCCACGATGCACTGATTACTAACCTGAACGAACGATTGCAGGAAGTCTTGTGCCGAAGTCCTGAAACTCCGTCTGACAGATATTCTCATGACAGATGCTTTAAGTTGACAGCTGCGATGCACTACTAGTGTAGAAGAGCATTTCAGGTGTGTGTGTGTGTGTGTGTGTGTGTGTGTGTGTGTGTTAAACATGGCATCGTTAAACCTGTCGTTCAGTTTATTTGATTTGGATTCGTTTGTTTCATTGTTTGTCTTCATTGCCTTAGATGGTTAGGTCCTGTTTTTTACGGCAGTGTAACGGAATCCATTCCTTTTCGACACTGACGCACAACACGGCACGATATCTTCATATGTTCGATAGGTTCTTCACGATTTCACGCCATTTTTTTCAAATCTCTCGTGATCTTCTTGGTTTCAGTGGTATTAGGCTTTGCCCTTTTCTTGATGTTAACGGTCCATGGTCATCTGAGTCTTCTATGGGTCCTGCTTTAGATTCATTTCACTGCATTACTTGTTTCTTCATGAAGTAGCTATTCCCGTCACGCGACTTTATTGGAATAATTCTAATTAGTATCATCCACATTTTGTGTCACTGTACTTTAGTAGCAAAAGTTTGTTTATTACGTTCAAAAACAGTGCTCCTTTCCTCTCAGACATTGCAAGAAATAATCTGCAGTATGAGAAAGGTTAAAGCAAATTTCGGAATTCTGTTGCACAGACAGTTTTCAAAACGTTTCAAACTGGTGACATTGAACGATTGTTTTGTTTTTCAGAATATGGCGAATTCTTGCACAAGAAAGGTCAAAAGTATGGAGACTTCGAACTCATCCGTCAAGAAATCGAAGCTGAAACTGACCGTGTCACAGGCTCAAATAAGGGCATATCTACCATTCCGATTAACCTTCGAATGTATTCTCCAAACGGTGAATATATTTTTCGATCGACTAAACTTGAATTACCCTTTCTTTGCATGCTCCATTTGAATGCATTAACGCGACTAGCAGATAGAGTTAGACATAAGATGTTATGCCAAATAAATTACCTTTCACAGATTTCTTCGCTGTACTGTATGGCTCTAATGCGCAACACAGCTGCAAGGAATAACAAACTAAATTAACTGAGCTTCACTATTTCTTAGACTATTTAGACCCTCTTCGCGCAGAAGCAGTTGATAATCCTCTAATTCTAATGAGAAGTTACTTTTTTCAGTTTAGTTCATTCTTATCATTCAGAGATGGAGGAAGCACGGGAAATTTTTGCATTTTGGGACGAAAATCAGTCTCAGTTGCTAAGATGGCAACAGCGATTAAACTGTTAAGAAATGGTGGGGCTACTGGGTAAGATGCATCGGATCTGGGATTTGAATAGAGTCCGTTAAGATGGGGTAAGATTTTTTGGCGATCATATGTACAGTCAACTTTCGAGTTTTGAAGGTGGGGAACACGATAAAAATAACATACCAAAAATTTACATTTACTGTTATCGCTTAATCATTAGATAATACATCGAGACGGGCCGTAAAATGGCAGAATGATGATCGCAGTTGATTAAAACGCAGAAGTTGAGGCAGCACCAATCGTCTGCTTTTTCATTCGAAGCACTACAGTTCCGTCATCGATTTTATTTTGGTTGTTTGTAGAGATTTGGAGATATTCATTGTTGCGGAACCCTCTCGGTTGGGGACGTCCGCTGAATTCTCAACTTTTCAACGTTTTGCTGAGGCAGCGGTTATGATATCGTTAACGAAACATTTCCTCTGAGTGGGAATCTGTCCCTGTATTTTTTCATCCATGCTGCGTTCTGACTTCTTGGTTCCACCCTGTCGTGTTTTAGTCTCGTATAAGAAGTTCACAGGTTTGGGTTCTGTCCAGTTTTGCTGACGATTCCTGTGCCCGAACGACAACCGTCGTTCCCTGTTCTTTCTGCAGCCAATTTAAAATTTTTCCGTATTTGCAGACCAGTCTCATCGTAGCGGCATGTTCAGAATGTGCGTCGAGCTTGCCAAAGCCTTTCTGATTATCAGATTTCCGACTGGTACGTCTTATTGCGATCGAACTTTTCCTTCTTCAGTGTAACGCGAGCAAAATCGACACAGTTTTCAGTTCACCTGTTTCACGGTGAATTCATTTTTCAGGTTCTGTTGGGAAGTTGCTAGTACTGCGAATCATAGTTAAAGCAAATGCAGAAATGTATAACCTTTAAAAATTTTTCATTTTTGCCTTCAGTTTATTGTTGTTTGAATGTTGAAGTTTCTAGTGTTGAATTTGACTCTGATCGATCTGCCTGGATTGACCAAGGTTCCCGTTGGCGATCAACCTGCTGACATAGAAGCGCAGATCCGAGATATGATTCTCACTTATATCACCAAAGAAAACTGTCTTATTTTGGCGTTGACCGCTGCAAATACAGATTTAGCGACGTCAGATGCATTAAAACTTGCAAAGGAAATTGATCCTTCCGGGTTGCGAACAATAGGTGTCATTACGAAGCTTGACCTGATGGATGACGGAACGGACGCCAGAGAGATTTTGGAAAACCGATTGCTTCCATTGCGGAGAGGTATTGTTTTGGCTTTATTTACTTGCGGGAATTATTTATAGACTGAAAGCTGTCGATAATGTATGAAATGTTCAAAGTATAACTGCATAATTTTATATAATTAGCCCTATTTGACGTTTAACGGAATTCATCAGAAGTAACATGAAAGATAGCGGCGAAACTTGAACCTTAAGCCTAAAAGCTATTCATTGACTGCAGGCTACACAACGCTGTATGAAAAAGTGTTCGAAATAAGTAGAAAGATAGGAATACGAAGAAATGGGTTATGAGTGAAGAAGTTCAATTGGCAGTGAGCAGTTTACAGTTTGTAGGAAGAAGAACCGACCATCGTTCGACCAGAGGTCTTGGTTTGGGTCCCAAAAAATGGTAGGCTTCCTCCAGATTGGTGACCGGATGGTCTGAGGAAGTTCACCGGATCAACATGGATGAAAATGGCAGAAAACAGAAGTCTATGGCGAAGTCTTCGAGAGGCCTTCATCCAGCATTTGATCCGCACAAGCTGATGATGATGAATATGAAAGAAAAAATATTTCACAAAATCAAAGCTTCGCTTGTTTTTCTTAGCGAGACATATTTTCAGATGCTGCGACATTTTTAAGCTGATCCTCAGGCGTTGAGTTAAAATTGGTTTCAAAAAATTGATTCTTTAAAGTTTTGTTAGGTATGTATCGTGTGCTTTCGTGTCCATCGAAGCTGTTTCTGTGTCAGCTATAGGTACAGGTTGTAGTATCCGTTTCTTTTGATTGTCAGCCATGTTTCGGATGCGGGACATGCATTGCATTTGAAATTCGAAAGCACTTAAAGGGTTGTTAGCGCTTCTTTCGAATCTTATGATGAACACAATGCACCAAGGTTCATAAACGTTCCGCCGCGTTTAAACTGTTTGAACAGATTTTTTGCGGTGCAAAAAAACATGCATAGCCGTTGTCCGAGTGTCGATCTTCCTTAACACTAGATAGTAATTGCCATTTTCTTGACAATGGCAGTGGCGTTATGCACAATTTTGATAAAGACTTTTACATAACATTTATGAATCTGGGCCACTTCAAATTTTTTTCCATTTCCCGATTTGCTCCATCCTGCATCGCTTGGATTTGCTTTCTAGATTTTGTTTCAGTCGGACTCAGAAACTTTCAACCTTTGTTCAAACGGTAGACAGCGGGATAAAAAGGCTTTAGCGTGTTCTACCTACACGCAGCCGTTCCAATCTTTTCTTCCGGATTTGTAGTTGTGTCCTTTAATGTGCATATTTATTTTCAGGGCATGAAAATGTATCTTATTCCGTGATTATCACTGTCACAGTGATTTAATCCTTCAGGATTTTAAGTTCTTAAGACTAAATAAGGTTCTCTATACTTCACCGTAGCTTGCAAAACCATGCTTTGGTCATTGACCACTTTTCCTATCGTATACACTGACATTGGAAGTGCATTACATTGTTCTCCTTTCTTTTGCCCTAGCCTATCAGATTTTCAATGCTACAGTCTCTAAACACTTTCCGACCCATTTAACGTGTTTTTCAAAATGTATGGAAGGATATCGTTCGGCGTTGTTATCTGAAGAACATGAGATTCAGTTTTACTATAAGACCGGCATGAGCTTAGGGATACTTTACTAAATAAATATACATGCAGCAACGCGGAGGAAGCGTTGAATGTCGTTTACAGCGGCGAGGGCGGCGACTTACAAGATACGTTGGACAGACCTACCGAAAATTGAATATTCAGATTAAATAACGTTTATCTGCTGTTCTCCTCGGGCATAACTGGTAGTGCACAACACTGTTTATGAGGGGCACTTCTCAGTCAGATAAATGTCTGTAATCGATAAACACAGGTCAGTGTCTGTTGATAAAGGAGTCTCTACATATTGGCAATGAGACATCGCATGTGTAAGGAATATTCCTCCTCTGCTGTGATAAGTTAAATTAACGCTGTTACTACGAACCTGATAAGAGAAAAATGTGGAACCCTTAATCCAGTGGCGGTGACTGAGCTTTAAAGTTCGAAGTTATGAATGTGATGGTAAAAATTTGATTTCAGCCAGCCACTCACTTGGTTATGGCGATTATAGCCAGTTTATCCTGATGATGCTGCGGATTCCACTGCTACTAAAATGTCAAAATCTGTGCAGTTTGGTGTCCTCAGTTATGAATAGGCAGCTAATCTCTAATTTATGTGCCTTATCTATGTTATTTCTGCTGAACGCAGTTATGCATTCAAATTTTTGTGTACTTTTCTTCGCGTTATTAGCATTCCTTCTCACTGCTTTTAGCTATCCTATACTCCTTACTCGACTGTGCTCTGTAGTTCTTCATCTCGTTTAGTTTTCGTTTCTCTGAGTTCTTTTTTTCACCTGATATCGCCTTTTGTTCATCTCTCTCCCTTACGGTTTCATCATTTGGTGCAATTCACGGTGTTCTTTTTTGGTGAAGCATGCCGCAGCACTGTTATAAGCTTCAGTGCTGCAAACCAAGGACAGCTTAGTTTTTCAATCAATATCTGCAGTTGTATGACGAATACTACGTGCTTCTGTTCCTACATGCCCCCACATATCAGTCTTCGTTTATCATCCTCGGAAAAATGAAAAGCAACTAACGCAATTAGGACTTAAACCTGCACTTGGTCGGCCGCTCGTCTAACAGGTTTCATCAAAAGTAATCTTCTGCGGTGTTTACAGAAAGATTACATCAATTAGCAGCATCAAATGTTCAAAGATAAATACCTTTTTGCCCTGATTAACGTCCTTTCACGCTATCCTTCATACTAGACACGGATTTGGCGCCACAGCCGCCCGAAATATTGCACGATTAAGAGCTTATTCAGTGTCAAAAGCTAACACAGTTTGAACTGCGATCTTGTATAATGTCTTGCTTATATTTTAAGGTTACATAGGCGTAGTAAACCGAAGTCAGAAGGACATTGATGGCAGAAAAGATATTAAATCTGCGCTTGAAGCAGAACGCCGCTTTTTCCTTAGCCATCCGGCTTATCGGTATGATTTTCGTTGCCCCTTTCTTATCCTGTCTTTTGCAATAATTGTAATCGTAAAGGCATATGGCTGATCGACTGGGAACACCATATCTTCAGAAAGTACTTAATCAACAGTTGACCAATCATATCCGTGATACTTTGCCATCCCTGAGGGATCGCCTCCAAAAGCAGCTGTTGGCTTTAGAAAAGGACGTTGCCGAGTATAAAAATTTTCGACCCGATGATCCGTCTCGTCAAACGAAGGCGATGCTACAGTATATGAAGATATTTGTATCGTTTCTGCTCGAACTGGCCATATTGTAGAATGGTTCAGCAGTTTTGCGCTGATTTTGAGAAGTGCATCGAAGGAAGCAGCGGAAAAGACGTGTCAGTGATCGAATTGAGTGGTGGTGCGAAGATCAACAGGTTGTTCCATGAAAGATTTCCATTCGAAATTGTAAAAATGGAAACCGATGAAAAGGAGTTGCGCAGAGAGATCGCATATGCGATTAGGAACATACACGGCATTAGGTATAAATTTTTTATCTGCTTATCCGCTTGTCTGCTTGCGGCGGCAATTGGTTAGTTCAGTCAGCTGCTTCGATGACTGTGCTTTGTTTATTTGGTTTGTCTCTGATTCTGATCTTCCAATCTACCTCTGCATAGCCGATAGTGCCGTGGCTGACACGATACTTTTTATTCTATCGCAGTGAGGTGACTTAATCGCCAAACGATTTGCAGAGTTGGTCTTTTCACACCTGACATGGCTTTTGAAGCTATAGTGAAGAAACAGATTGCCAGGCTAAAGGAGCCGTCGCTGAAGTGCGTCGATCTGGTCATAAACGAACTCAGCAACGTTGTTAGAACGACTGCTGAAGAGGTGAACATATCAGCTGTTCCTTTTTCATTGTCCGTAGTCTACGAATCACTTTCTTGTCTTGTAGATGGGTCGTTATCCGCGACTGAGGGAAGAAATTGAGCGCATCGTCAATTCGTACATCCGCGAACGAGAGCAGCGCTGCAAGGATCAGTTGATTTTGTTGGTCGATTATGAACTTGCGTACATGAACACGAACCACGAAGATTTCATCGGCTTCGCAAAGTAAGGTTTCTTGTCGACCTAAATTCATTTTAATATTTCTCGTCATCGATCTAGCGCTGAAGCGAAAGCATCTGTATCACAACGTCAGAAAAACTTGGGCAATCAAGTTATACGCAAGGGTTGGTTAACTATTCATAACATATCTTTTATCAAAGGCGGATCAAGGGACTTTTGGTTTGTTCTCAGTTCCGACAATCTATCTTGGTACAAAGATGATGAGGTAAACGTTAGTTTTGTCTTCGCGATTTCTCGTTTATTACACTATTTCACCCGTCTCTGCGGAATGACTGATAAATCTAACAACCGCTGCTTCAGTCATATCTAGTGTACTTGTTAGTGCTGCCCCTATGCATCGAATGCGACCCAGTAATTCTGGGAGGTTGAGCGCCTGGTTTTGCGCTTCGGATATTGTCTACCTCTTGTTGCATACCCAAATCGTATTTTCGGTTGAAGTTTCGCCAGCGGCGGCACTTTGGTCATTTTGCATGTAGAGAGGCCTTGTTGTCCGTAAACGGCAGCTGCTCTTTCTATTGTTTAATGTTGATAACATCATTTATAGGAAAAAGAACGAAAATATATGTTGCCACTAGACGGTTTGAAACTTCGGGACGTTGAAGCAGGGTTCATGTCGAGAGCACCTCGATTCGCCCTATTTTATCCGGATAACAGGTTACTGATGTACATTAATATATGGGTGGTTTCAGTATGCATGCAAAAGATTAATTCAGTTTTATTGCTGCAACAGGCTGTGCTTAATCGAAAGTTTTGATAATGAACTTATATCTCGTCGCGAATCGTTGTGCTAAACTAATAGTGTTCTACCGTCTGCGAGGATGCAAAGTCTGTGTATATTTTAGCGGGCATTAACATTCATTTTTCACCGTTCAACAACTTCTTTTCCCCGTTGGCCTGATTATACTTTATATTCTTTAGCAGCACACAGGAAAAGTTGTTGGCAAAAATTTTTGTACTCGCGATCGCACTTTTCATTTCCATGTCATAGTTGTCAAGTGAGTAGAGACTTCAGACTTGCATCGAAAGATCGTGAGTTCCAGTCGTTGCTAGGTCACTCCCTTTTCATCCTTTCGCGACTAACATCACTCCGCGGTAAGAGAATAAGACTACACCCTATTGCAGTTGTCTGCATATAATGCTGTATAGTTGGCAGAAAGACTGACATTCTTGACTGATGGCATAGGCGTGAAGATCATGGAATACATGATGTCTGTGGTGGGAGCGTAAGTTAGTTGAATATCATAAAAGTTATGAGCATTATTTCTTTTTTTCATCTGCTATTCAAATGACATGACAAGATTTTTCCATTCTTCGGGAATGAACACCAATGGAGTTCCTGCTCCTCTTGCTTGAAATTGTAGTCAGAATAGTTTTATCTGTGAACATCTGTCTTTAAGGTATAAAATAGGAAGAGCAAGTTTATAGGTGTGTGGATATCAGTCTCCCTTATAGTTTCATGACGAACTCCATTTGTAATATCCTTTTTTTGCAGCTTGTAATGCTGCGCTGATTTACATTTCCATGTCGTCCACCAGGAGTGTCTTATTTCTTAAGGATCATGCCTACGGATGGGTAATCGTTATAGTGTGTAGTCTCCTGTTTTTCAGCGAAGTGGCAACTGTTTATGTATCGTGGAAGAATGAAAAGCGAACCCCTCGTCCGCGTTTCGTACCCGCAGTCATTCGGCTGCGGCGCTGAACCCACCGAATACCTC